ATGAAATCTGACTTGCAAGGAAAGAGCCCTCCCAAGGTTCAAGTGTCCTTGGGTCAATGGGCTGGCTTGTCAAATTAGGGCCCAATGGCTTTATAAAATCTTCAGACCATTACATTCTCCCCAACAAGAAAATTTTCGGCCTCGAAAATTAAGACTTACCGGTAATTAGATGAGGATAAGACCTCTGCATCTCTTCCTCCAATTCCAAGTGGAGTCGCCCGTTCTTTCGTCCAGATAACCTTGACAAGTCTGACCGCCTTGCCTTGAGGCCGCTTGGTTTGGTGTTCCTCTACCCTCACTGGTTGCACCTCGAAGATAAGTCTTCCCTCACTGGACGTCTTCAACCTCCAACACATGAGTCGGATCGGGCACATATTTCCTAAGCTGGGAGACATGAAATACAGATGAAGATTAGCCAGCTGAGGTGGCATGGCTATCTCATAGGCTACTGGTCCGATGCGCCGCAGGATCTGATAAGGACCGAGGTACTTAAGGGACAATTTCCTCGCTCGAATAGCTCTTCCAACACCAGTGGTAGGAGTAACTGAGAAAGACATGATCTCCGACTGCAAACTCCAAGGGTTTTCGCCTCTGATCGCATATGATTTCTGCGGCTTTGAGATGCTTTCTTTTTCCTGGATCAGTCTCACCTTCTCTGTGGTTTGCTGCACTAATTCTGGTCCTGTCAATACCGCCTCTCCATCCTGAAACCAACAGAGAGGTGTTCTGCAGCGTCTACCATACAAAGCTTCGAATGGAGCCATACCAATACTGGCTTGATAGCTGTTGTTATAAGTAAATTCCACTAACGGTAACACCTCATCCCAAGCCCCAGATGATCCAGTATACATGTTCTCAACAAGTCTTCTAAGGACTGGATCGTTCTCTCAGATTGGCCATCCGTTTGAGGATGGTAGGCTGAGCTCATCTGCAATCTGCTACCCATCTCACTCTGGAGTGTTTTCCAAAATCTAGAGGTGAACCGCGGATCCCTTCTGATATGATGCTAGAAGGCACTCCATGCAATCTTACTATCTCCTTAATATATAGCTGCGCCAGTTTTGCCATGGACATCCTTAAGTCAATTGCCAAGAAGTGAGCACTCTTGGTCAATCTATCCACTATCACCCAATGGCATCATGTTTCCTGAAAGTGCTGGTAAATGGGTAACAAAGTCCATAGCTATGCTATCCCATTTCCACTCCGGAATTCCAAAGGCTGCAATAAACCTCCAGGTCTCTGATGCTCTACTTTGCCTTTTGACAAGTAAGGCAAGAAGCAACACAAATTGGGCCACATCTCTCTTCATACCCGACCACCAGAAGGACTTCTTAAGGTCCTGGTACATTTTAGTCATACCTGGATGTATACTAAAACGACTTCGGTGTCCTTCTTCAAGTATTCATCTCTTTAATTCCCCATCATTGGGGACCATGTCCTTCCTTGAATCGCAAGAGACCATCCGTCCCTGTGTTGAAATCCTTCCCCTTTCTGTACCAATCAAGGTTGTGGATGTCTGAAGCTCAGGATCTAACAACTGCCCTTCTTGATGCGTTCTATCAAGTTACTAGACAAACCAATTTACTGCATCTGATGCTGTCATCCTCAATTCAACCTGTAGCTTCAAATCTCTAGAACTTTCCACCAATTCAAGCTCTTAACCATCAATGATGAGATATGCACCGTCTTTCTGCTGAGGCATCTGCCACCACATTCCTTTCCAGGGTGGTATAGGAGTTCAAAATCATAGTCCTTGAGGAACTCCATCCATCTCCTTTGCCTCATGTTAAGCTCTTTCTGATCAAAGAGGTACTTCAAACTTTTGTGGTCGCTGAACACTTGGAATTGGGCCCCATATAGATAATGCCTCCAAATTTCAAAGCAAAGAACTGCAGCTAACTCCAAGTCGTGAGTGGGATAATTCTTCTCATGCACTTTAAGTTGTCTTGAGGCATAGGCAACCACTTTCTTTCTTGCATCAGTACGCACCCTAGGACCTTGGTGAGAGGCATCGCAATAGACCTCAAAAGGTCTACCAGTGTCTGGAATTACTAGCACTGGGGCGTTGTCAACCTTTCCTTAAGCTCTTGAAAACTTGCTTCACATCTTTCAGTCCATACACAAGGGCTGATCCTTCCTGGTCAACTGAGTCAATGGGGATACTATCCTGGAGAAGTTTTCAATGAAGCGGCGATAGTAACCCGCCAATCCCACAAAACTCCTGATCTCAGCTGACTGTCTTTGGCCTCTCCATTCCATTACAGCTTGAACTTTGGCTGGATCAACAGCAATACCACCAGCCGATATAACATGCCCTAGGAAGGGACCTCTTCCATCCAGAACTCGCACTTAGACAGCTTGGCATACAACTTTCTCTCTCTCAACACCCCAAGCACTGTCCTCAAGTGACCTTCATGGTCTTCCCGAGTCTTAGAATAGATTAGGATGCATCAATGAATACAATCACAAATCTATCTAAGAACGGTCTGAAAATCCGGTTCATGTAGTCCATAAGATAGCAGGCGCATTGGTTACGCCAAAAGGCATAACTACATACTCTAGTGGCCATATCTGGACCTGAAAGCTGTCTTCTGAACATCATTGCTTTCACCAAGATTTGGTGATACCCTGATCTCAAATCTATTTTGGAGAACACAGTAGCCTCATGCAGCTGGTCCATCAATCATCTTTTCTGGCAATGGGTACTTGTTTTTAATTGTCAGCTTATTTAATTTTCGGTAGTCAACACACAATCTAGAAGTGCCATCCTTCTTCTTCACCAATAGTACTGGCGCACCCCATGGAGACACACTGGGTCTGATAAATTGTTTCTCAAGAAGCTCTTCGATCGTTTCCTCAATTCTGCTAGCTCCGCGGGAGCCATACGGTAAGGAGCTATAGACACTGGTCCTGCACCTGACACCAGGTCTATAGAGAATTCTACCTCACGGGGAGGAGGTGAGACCAGGGACTTCCTCGGGGAAGACGTCTAAGAACTCATTCACACCGCAGATCCATTCTCTGGTCCCCTGGAACTGAGGAATTCAAGTCTTGAGTCGCATTATGTGAGTCATAATTAGGAAACAACTCGCGCCTTCCCAAATGTCTTGCCCAGTACGCTGAGAGACAAGAGGCATGTATTCATCTTCCTCAGGAAAGATAAGCTTTTTCCTCCGCAATCTAGAAGGATACATTGGCGGCTAACCAATCCATTCCTAGAATGACCTCTAGCCCCTGTATAAAGGTAGACAAATAAGGTTCACTCTGAACCTTCGCCCTCAACTTCTATAGGACATCTGGAACACACCGTAGACTCCTGACTAGCCCAGCTGCCGGTGTAGAAACCACCAGGTCACACTGGAGCTCTCTGACCACTAGACCAGCCTCTCCACACAAGACTTAGACACAAAAGAATGTGTCGCCCCCGAATCAAATAAAGCCACACATGAAGCTCCAAATAACAAGCACGTGCTGACAATCAAGTTACCTGCACTGACTGCCTCAGCTCCTGTCAGAGCGTATACTCTCCCTGTCGCCTGTGGCCTGACGCCACCCCTCTGAATAGCTCTGCCCGCTGGACGTGGGTGGTCTGTCCTCCTAACAGTGGACAATCTCTGGCATAAGTGGTCGTCCGCCTGCAGAGGTTACACCTCTTGTACCCTATACTGAGGGCACACAGACTGAAGGTGTGGTCCTCACAATATAACACCGAACAGGGCTGCTAAAACTGGGATGCCCCTGCTGCACCGAAGGCTGAGAGGAGGAACTCCTGGACCCAGAAGATGTGGGCCTAGAAAAAGGGGTTGTCCTAGAGCTGGATCCCCCTTAGATATTGCTGGTCCGCCAACCCTCAGTGGTTGGACTCGTGGCCCTGTGACACTTCGGGCTCTGCCTTCGTCTTCTCCATGTCTCGGGCCATCTCTACCAAAGCAGAGAACTCTCGGATGCGTAATCCTTTTACCATCGCTTCACATCCTTCCTAGCCGTTCTCGAATTTGCGGCATTGCAATCCTCACTTACTTGTACGGTGCTGAAGCGGAGAAGGGGTTTTAAAACGGTCAGCATATTCTGACACCGACTTGTTTCCTGAGCCAACTCCAGGAATTCTACCTCTTAGCGAATTGACGCTATCAGGGAAGTACTCCGTGTAAAACTTGGTCCTGAACAACTCCCAAGTAATAGGAGTCCACGCCTCTCTAGGATCATCTTCACACTGTTCCACCAGTGGCCAGCTTCCCCTGTGCAATAGATACTGAGTGTAGGCCAACTTCCTGTCATCCGGGCACCTTTTGCCTCAAATATGCGTTCCATGTCTTGGAACCAATGATCCGCTTCATCCGGGCTGCACTTGCAGTGAACCTGGCTGGATGGGTGCTGGAGAAAGCTCTCCAAGGTCCACTCCTGAGTTGGAGCAACAGATGAGGAAGCACCCTGAGTGGGGTACACCCCTGGCAACAATATCCATCAGTTGCCTCTGGGTGTGGTCAGATTCCTCCTTGCATTCTCGGCAGATATCCTGGCTTTTCAGGGCTATCCTAGCGGCTTCTAGGTTTTGAAGGGCAACCGTGTTTTGTTGCACCAGAAAGTGTTTTGCTGCTTGAAGAGCCTCAATACAGCCTCAGTCTTGCATTGGACTCAGAGGGCTCATTTTGAGGAGGTGGAGGAGGAAGCCTGGGCGCCATTATTCTGTTTCACACAAAAAGAACAGAACATCAATCGAATCAAAAAGAGCTAGACACCTAAGAGTATAAGGGCAATAGCATGGCACACACGGAACCTAAGAGTTGTTCCTAGAAGAAAGAAATGCTCTGATACCACTAATGTGACATCCCATATTATACTTCATGCAGTATAAAATTAAGACGTCAACATAGATGATAATAGAAAACAGTTAGAATAATAAAATAGCAAATAAGGTTCTAAGAAATTAAAATTTAGGATTAAGTAATCCGGAATGAGAAGAAATTAAATACTAAAGGATACTAAAGTATTCAAAATACAAGAACTGGAATTGTTCAGATACATAGGAAAGCTATGGAATTCCTAAAGAGACTAAGAAGTTGCTTCCTCATTCCCCTCCAGGACATTCTCCACTGAGGCCTCATTCTCCTCTGCTCACATCCAAGTGGGATGATCATTGCAAAAGAAAAAGCATGCAACAAACCACAAACAACAAGGGTGAGCTAATATAAAAATCATGCAACTCAATTTAAGCATATACAATAAAGAAAATAACTCACACCAATTAATTCAGAAATACAACCTAAGCATGTTAATTTCTAGACTTGACTCGTCCGACTTTAAAATGATAGGCGGGCTATGGCGAGTCTTGCACCCCGTGTGAACTTATGATACTTGGGTTCCCCACCCTGCCACACTCACGAGGTTAGTCCGTTCCGCGCCTTGAGGCATACTGGGAGCCCCCAAGACTAAGGACCTCCTGCTACTCCTCACCACATGATTCAACCTCTCTAAGTGAGTATGATTGACCATTGGAGCGTCAGAATGACTCCCAAGGCTAAGCCCCTACTTTTCATTTTAAAACACTAAGAATCTCACCAAGAGATTCTACATTTGAAACTATCATAAGCAACCATGAAATCCTGTTTTCAGTCTTTCCCCAATTCACACACCTTTTAAGTATAATCAAACCACATATTTAAGCCTTAAATATCAAATCATATATAATAGAACATGTTCCTCAACCAATTTCAATCATCTCTGATAAACGATATTGTCATGTTATTACCAAACAGTAAGATAAAAAGTATAAATTATATGTAAAAATAATAATAGCATAATCTCTGAAAACTAAAACAACTTTATCACTGCAAATTTAATATACTGGATGAAATAATAAATAAATAAAAAAAAAGAAAACAGCTTACATCTTATTCTTTTGATAGATTCATAAAAACATAATACACATATATATATCAACATATATATTACGTTACTTATATATATTATATATATTACGTTAGTTATAATACATTATATATATAACGTTTCCTATCTATATTATATATATATATTACGTTACTGTAAATATTTATATTTATAATATTAAACTAAGATTTATATATATATATATATATATATATATATATATATAAAATCTATACATTAATAATATAATATAATATCATATAATATAATATCATATGTATTATCTCTAAATAACTTACAATGTTCCTTTAATTATGAAACTGCTTGCTAAACTTTTCATTACCACAAAATATTTGTTCTCTACTTCACATCGCTACCCAATTGGTCACCGGAGAGGGTTCAGATGTCTGAACGCATCAGACTCACCTTCGGCGCTAGCACATATGACTAGTCACAACTGACTGGACCAGGCCAGGGCTGCTCTATGATCAGGGATGTACCAACTCAGGTTTTTAAGTCCCCTCTATCCTACCAACAAAGAAAGGCTCTCAACCAATTTTAATTAATTTATTTAAGTTACCTAAACTAATCTGTGGTGCTATAAACCTCAATTGCCAACTTTCTTTTATATATATATATATTTATATATATATTATTTCCTCTCACGGTAATCTAAAACAATGTCTGTATACCTACTTACTACCCATATCAATGCCATTACAGAATCTTACTCAAAACCCTCAAACCAGAACAATTTCAGCCAACCAACTCATTCGAAACAGATTAAAATAATCATATCACAACATGCACCATTCCACAGTTTCAATTATAACACCCAATACAATAAAAGTTATAACACAGTTTCACAAGAGTACACCAGTTCAATTCAAACCATCTTATATACTAAAAATCCAAAATACCGTACAAAATCGCACGACAGTCCAAAATTCAACATGCATACATTTACAAATCAGATTCAAGCAATAAATTCAGAGAAAAATAATTAGCTCCCCTCACCTGGTGGGTTGCTCAACACAGTTCACAGATGCTCTAACAGTACCCCCTACACCGTGCGAAACTGTACAGAACCTATAAATCACCAAATAGGTGCTAGACTTTAGCTCTTCGAGTCGGAATAAACCGAGAATGAAAGACAAAATCACACAGGGCACAGGAAATCAGAAAATGGCACAACCTAGGACAAGAACAGTGAAGGGAAAGAGGGAAAATCTACTTACCCGCTGGAACGCAAAACCAATCGGATGGTTTCGTAGCTCTTGACTCCAGGAACAAGAAAACACCACCAAATTAGGATTCAATCGGTGGAAATGGCTGGAAACCTAGAGAGAAGTCAGAGCACTTGAGTTAGGGCAAGGTTTCTGTTCTAGAGAGAGAGGAATATGTGAAATGAAATCTGACTTGCAAGGAAAGAGCCCCTCCCAAGGTTCAAGTGTCCTTGGGTCAATGGGTCTGGCTTGTCAAATTAGGGCCCAATGGCTTTATAAAATCTTCAGACCATTACAAATAATATATCAAAATCAAATCTAATATAATTATAATTTTCGTAGGTTGTTGCCTCAAATTTTTATCCTTAATAATGTCATTTTAATTTTTATTGTTTAATGATTTAATTAGTTAAAAAGTTTAATACAAATTGAGTTCTGAATCCAAGTTTATTAGGTTTTGAAGGCAGCACTACCACCTTTAATGGTGTCATTTATTATCATAAACTCATTGTTACATATTTGAAACCACTACTTTTATTTTAGGGAAAATATGCTTTTTATCAATAATTTATTTTATTTTTTTTTTAAAAAAAAACGTGATTTTGGGTTTGTACTTTGAAATCAATAAATTAGTCCTCAAAGATTTTAAAAATACATATATGTAAATTTAGTCTTTTCTCAACTTTAGAAGGGTGTAAAACTGCATTTATATGTTAAATTTAAGTATAAAAATAATTATAATCATATATTCTTAAAAAAATAGAGGAATGAAACACCAATTTAAAATTAAAGGAAAAAATATTTTTTTCTTCATTCTCTAAAATTAATAAAATTTTAGTATATTTAAAAAAAGAATAAATATTACATTTAAATTTTTAATTAATATTATTAAAATAATATTCGTTACCATTACTTTAATTGAGATAGATAAAATATACAATTTATACTTCATTCAAAACTAAAAACATAAAACATAAGCAAACTAGTGATATTTTAAGGTTGTCATGATTATAGGATAGATATAGTATCATATACATCATTAATTGCCATGTGTATGGCATAGTAATAAAGATATTCCTCAACATATGTTTTTTATATATTAAGTTGACTGGTTATTTATTTAGTCACTCTATAATAAAAAATATTTTTTAATTCCGAGTTTACAGATGTTCTTACACTTCAGCTTATATCTTCCCGTTTGATGTTGTCATTTAAATTAAAAGAATTACTTTTTACTTTTTGTTTAAGTTGCAGTTATGTGTATTCAATAATAATAGTCTATCTTATTTAATAGAGGGAGGTTGCAAGTTAGTGTAATAGGAATGAAGAGGTTATAATTGGTGAACATGTTTAATTTTGTTGATATTCATTTCCAATATTAACATAATGTACTTTTTTTAGGTTTTATTTTATTTTTTGTTTTTTAAATTTTTTGGAAAATTTAAAAACATTTATAATTTCTATTTGATACAATAAAGTCTTTAATTTAATATCAACTTTAATTTTTTCTGTTAAATTACTATTAATGGTATGTATGTGCATAACATATGTTAATTAGTAATATTTTTTTTACATGTTAAGAACATTAACATGACACACGTGTTATGTGTTATATGTCACATAACAATGTTTTATTTTAATTTAATTTTTATATTTAAAATTTTGATTTTATTTTATTTTTACTTTAAAAAAAATCAATTTTATTTAAGTGAAATTAAATTAATAATTAAGTTTAATTATAAGTTATATAAACATGTTAAAATATTTTTAAAATTTTATATTAAAATTAATGTTATTTTATATATTTTTAATACCATAAAAAAAATTCCTACTATGTATTAATTACTTAAAAGTTATAAGTGTTATTTTATATTTACATTTTTAATATGTTAAAAAAGATTATAAATTTAAAATAAGAATATTATTTATTAAAAATTTATAAAATAAAGTTAACTTTAATATTTAAGTGAAATAATCTGATGTATAAATTTTAAAAATATTTTAATATGTATATATAAATTATTATTAAACTTAATTACTAATTTAATTTTATTTAAAAAAAATTTCTTCATTTAAAAAATAGTGCATTTAAAAAAAACTAAATAGAGTAAAAATATTCCAATAAAAGAATTAAATTCAACACAAATACTTCTATATAACAATAATATTGACACATGGTAATATACGGACACATGGTTCTAGCACGATAATGATTTCACAAATGATATTTTTTTTAAATTAATTTTTTTAAAAAAAATATATATTATAAATTGGTACGTGACATGTAAAAAAATATTAAGAAACTAATTAAATCGTTTCAAAAAATGAGAGGAGTTAATTACATCAAATAAGGAGTCTTTTTAAATTTTTCACATTAAAAGAACAGACTGTATTATTCTCCTATATTAACACAAAAAGAGAATGCAAGCAATTTCTATAATTTTAATGGAATGAAAATATATAAAACTTTAGATTTCATGATTCTTATAACTTTCACAAACATAACTATGAAAAAATACTTACCTCGATCTATTGTAAAATTCCCTCAATTAATAATTTTCTCTTCTTTCACTTTTCTAAATGATTTTTTGATTTTTGATGATATAAAAATTATCAAAAGAAGTATCATTTTGTCATAATCAAATAAAAATTATCAAAAGAAGTCTCATTTTGTCATAATCAAATAACGTAACTCTTGTTTTATATTTCAAGAAACCTATTAACACAAATAAAGCCTTTTCCTATCTTGTGATATTTTACAAACTTTAAATAAATATCAAAATGTCATTTTGAAATAAAAAAAATAAATTAATTTTAATAATTCTAAAATAATTATTATAATTTCAATATATTTATATTTTAATAATCATCACGTCTTTACGTCAAAATCATTTTCTAAATTACATAAATAAAATATTAAATTAATATAATTTAACATATTACTTTGTAAAAATGTTGAAAAGCTTTTTAAAGGTAGAAAACCAAAAAATCTATTAGGAAGAAAATTACTTGTGTAATTTGTAAAAGCTTAATTGTTAAAAAAATAAAAAAAGTGGAAAGAGAGTTTCATGATTTAAAACTGACAAATCTCGTCTTAATTTTTAGGGACAGGGTGTTAAGTCCACCATTCCGGAGTCCAAAGAAACAGTATGTTTAATGGAATAATTCTTAAAGTAAATTAATATAATTTAAAAAATGTGATTTTTACTAAAATATCTAATTTGTTTGTCCCATACAATTATGGGATAGGATGTGATATTCTTAGTAAACTTTTCATCTTTACTTTATAAATTATATTCTCACTCTTAAAGAAAAATTTATTGATAAAAAATAAAACTAAAGACATGAATGTAATATATAAAATATTAACAATAATATTAATCAAAACTTTAAAATAATAAATTTATTATTATTTTTTCTTATATAATGATTAATTTTTTATTTTCATTTCTTATTACACTTAACTTTTGAATTTAAACTTTATATTTATAACATTGAATACTATTTATTTATTAAAAATATATGTTATTGAATATAATTATTATACTAAAAGTTATTCTCAACATACAATAACCACTAAATATAAAAAATATATAATTTTCAATTACAACAAATATACATTTTATTTAATTATATATTTTAATATTACTCTAAATAATTATGAACATTATAAAGACACATCAATTTAATTACTGTTACATATTATACTATTTATAATTGATTTTTTTAAAATTTTATTAACTATTTTTTTTCATATTATTAACCTTTTGGTTTAAACATTATATCTATAAATTGTAGAAAACCATAATATTAAATATAATAATACACAATAAATATTCTATTAAATTAAACAAAAACTATATTGTTTTTTAATAGATATTTAAAATATAAAAAAAAATTAAAAAAAAAAGTCGGCTTATGTGTAAGGAGGACGGGGTTCGGACTGGTATTAGTTGAAATAGTCACTAAAAAATATAAAGAGAATGAAATGTCATGTGCCGGGAAAATTAAGGCAAATGATTATAACGTTCTTAACTCGGGTGATTTCCATAATCTTTGTATTTTGATATTCTCACCCTACCTTGCCAAGGTGCTTCTTTTTTATTTATAAAAGCCACACTCTCCTGGTTTTGCCTCCACAACTTACTACTAACATTAATCTCAACATTATAAAAACCCATTCAAGCACCCACACAGAGAAGAGAAGAGAATCTCTAAAAACAAAAATAAAAACATTCTCTCTTATTCTCCTTCCTTAGTTCTTCTTTCTCCATTTTCTGTCTTTTTTTCTATTTTTTTCCTTCCTTTTCTTTCACCTTCTATTTCTTCTCTGATTCTGCATTTCGTACATGCTGTCTTCTACTTCTCTCCTGGTTTGATTGACGAAGCAAAACAGGATTTGTCACAACTCTTGTGGCCTCCCATTTCAGGAGAATCACTCATTGGCATATAGAGCTTGTTAAAAGAAAAAAAGAAAGAAAAAAAAAAGTGTTTTGAGATCTGGCATGTTATCCTTTTCTCTCTAGCTTTCTTTGTGGGGAGTGTTTGTGTTAGAGTGACTGACATTCCAGCTCTGCTTCCTTTGTTTTGCGTGGCCAAGAAGCAAAACAACAATCACGAAAAGAAAAATATATTCCATTGAAGTCATTCTTTTAACCCCTTTTGGATCTACCACTCACACCTTGAGCTTGGCCTAGCTTTGCTTCCCATTACTCATCACTCTCTTTTCTTCTTCTCACATCAAAACGCTTCCAATGGATCGTTTTTCTTCCAGTACCGTTATCCCTGAGGCGTTCCAAGGGGCCAAAGATGACCTCACCACACAGCTTGCATTGGTTTGGAATCAAATCAAAGCGCCATTGATTGTCCCGTTGCTGAGACTGGCAGTGTTTCTGTGCTTGATCATGTCGGTGATGATGTTCATTGAGAGGGTCTACATGGGCGTTGTCATAACTCTGGTGAAGTTGTTCGGGAGAAAGCCCGAGAAACGTTACAAATGGGAGCCAATGAAGGACGACATAGAGTTGGGAAACTCTTCTTACCCAATGGTTCTCGTTCAAGTCCCCATGTACAACGAAAGAGAGGTACATATTACACAGTACTTACCTCTTTCTTTCACCACTTTTAACACTTGTTATCATGTGCAAAACTTTTTACTTTTGAGCCTCGATCTTAGTTAATTCTCCTTGATTTTGAATGCAGGTTTATCAGCTCTCTATTGGAGCTGCTTGTGGGCTTTCTTGGCCTTCAGATAGGATCATCATACAAATCCTTGATGACTCCACTGACCCAACAATCAAGGTTAGCATTAAAACTCAACATGGTTAGTTACCGGTGTTAGTTCCATTCCGTGTGAATGATGTTACTATCCCGGGAACGTACAAAGCCTGGATTGGACATACTCAAATGAAGTGCTTGTTCTTTGCGGGCATTCTGAAACATTTTGTGGTGACTTGACAAATGCAGGAGATGGTGCAGCTTGAATGTCAAAGATGGGCAAGCAAAGGGGTGAACATAAAGTATGAGGTTAGAGACAACAGGAATGGGTACAAAGCAGGGGCTCTCAAAGAAGGCATGAAGCGCAGCTACGTGAAACAATGTGATTGTGTTGCAATCTTTGACGCTGATTTTCAACCAGAGCCTGATTTCTTGTGGCGAACCATCCCATTCTTAGTGCACAATCCCGAACTAGCTCTCATTCAAGCTCGTTGGAAATTTGGTAATCTATTAATTTTGTTTTTATGTCGAGTTGAGTCTTTCTTAATTAACTCCTAACATTCAACATCAGCGATCACAGGGACAACAACCCTTGCTTAATTTAGGTCTCTGGTTTTCTTGATGGCGGCTTTCGTTGCATTAATCTAGACTAATATCTTAGATTAGATTGCGAGTCCTAAAATCAGAACTTGCTCTTAAAAACTGTCGGTGGGTTTTTTGTTTTGAACTTGTTTTCAAGAACTAGTTTGTTTGGTTGGTTGGGGAGAGGTAGGTCCCACTTTGTGGTTGAACGACCGTGTACAAATCGCAGTCTAGCACCTTCAACTTTCGTGGTTGCCTTTGATTTAAGCCACGTATTCTTTTTCCTATCGTTTTTTTCACTTCTTTGTGTCTGTGGGGCTCACTGTTTCTACTCCCCTCCAAAATCTATAATGCAGACTACAGGGAGCAAGTGTTCCTTCTCCTTTCCTTTTTCTTTTTCTTTCTTTTAGTTGCATTTTCCGTGGCTTTGATTTCTTTTGAGTTTTGTCCCGTGTTGTGGAAAAAGGTGGGAATGGCAGATTGGTAAACCTCTAAACTTTACATTATTTTTGGGGACAGTCTGTCATGAAAAGTCATCTATGAACTGTTAGATGATTAACCATGATATAATAATTGTTGTCACGTATATATTGTCCTGACTAATGAATTCATTTATGGCTGAATAGGGTTTGGTTGTGTCATTGTGTGGCCGAAAAGTCTGTTATAACGATGGACCACTGCTTAATGCGGAAAAGGGTAATTAAAATTTAGAGGTAAAATAGATCTTTGACTGGATTAGTAAGTAACTAAGAAGGTAAAAGTAGAATGTTGAAAGAAACACAAAATTTCATTGATCCGACTCTCAAAAGTTCGTATTTGACGTCTTTTTCTTCATGTAGTTCGTTTTACTAGCACTATACATGCGGGTATTCTGCAACATGCTATATAATTTTCGTGAAACAACAATGATCACATAGACTCGATTAAGCAAAAAGAAAGTAAAACAAAAAGAAGATGATAATGTTTTAGAAAAATGTGTGTTCTAAAAGGTGATTTTCAAGAATGCTATAAATTCTAAAATGTGAACTGGTGAAGGGCCATGCTCCAGTGACATAAAGAGTAGTTTCAATTGAATATTTGAGGGGTCCAAATATTATTATTGCTGATTTCTGCTACCAGATAGGAGGGCAATACTTGAAAGCTGCAGTGCATGTATGTATAGTTCAAAGGGTATTTCTGACTTGCGAGAAACAACACCGTTTGTGATATTATTGTGGTTGTTGTTGTCATCATTGTTCTTATTGTGCTACTTCATCTTCCTTTTTTCCCCCTTACTTGTCTTCTGCTCCTTCCGGCAGTTGCATGTGCAAATTTAATGGTGGACCTTATTTCGTAGTCACTGTCTATCTCTACTAACCGACAAGTGGATCTCTTTTTAACTCCTGCAAAATCAATTTATTTACATAATGCCATTGCAAATTTCATGCCAGCTAAGGAAGCAATTTATTTATTTATTTTTATTTTATTCTGTGATTCCAGTGAATTCCGATGAATGTTTGATGACCAGAATGCAAGAGATGTCATTGGATTACCATTTTACTGTGGAACAAGAAGTGGGGTCTTCCACTTACGCCTTCTTTGGATTCAACGGTAATATGATGCCAAATGTTTCCACCTTTATATCTGTCCATTTTTCTTCTAATTAAGGAACAAAAAGACAACAGGGACTTTTGTGAAATAGTGGAAGCTAGGTCTTGTTTTCATGTAGCAGGAAGGTTTAGTAAATATTTTTCTACTCTTTAAAAATGCTTTAGGGACTGCGGGAGTGTGGAGAATATCTGCATTGAATGAGGCTGGTGGATGGAAGGATAGGACCACAGTGGAAGATATGGACTTGGCTGTGCGAGCCAGTCTCAAAGGATGGAAATTCTTATACTTGTCTGATTTGAAGGTTCGGTTACTCCAAACTTAAGAACAGTTAAATCCATTTTAAACATACAAAACATCATGGTTGTGAGAATTCGTGTTTTAGTGATAGGTAACTTCTGGTTTAGTTAATGTTTGTGCTGTGTATCTGATGTCAATTTTATTTTGACAGGTTAAAAATGAATTGCCAAGCACTCTCAAGGCCTACCGTTACCAGCAGCACCGTTGGTCTTGTGGTCCAGCCAATCTTTTTAGAAAAATGGTCTTGGAGATCATAAACAACAAGGTTAGTTTGTTTTGTTTGCTTGAATAATCATGAATATGCAGGAGCAGGACAACATATGTTGACTAGTTCCAAATTCATATGTATGTCCATTGCAGAAAGTGTCATCGTGGAAGAAAATACACGTGATATACAGCTTCTTCTTTGTTCGGAAGGTCGTAGCACACATCAACACCTTTGTGTTCTACTGCATTGTATTGCCTGCAACAGTTTTGGTGCCTGAGGTTGTGGTCCCAAAGTGGGGAGCTGTTTATATCCCTTCTGTCATCACTATTCTAAATGCAGTTGGAACTCCAAGGTTTTGATTTCTCCCAAGTTTAGCTCTGTGCTCAAATGAACAGAGTTTCAAAGAAAGAAACTTGTTTTTCAAGTAAACATTGTTGACTTTATTCCTTGTGTTTTCTGTGTTTCAGGTCACTCCATTTGCTGGTGTTCTGGATTCTCTTTGAGAATGTCATGTCGCTTCACCGAACCAAGGCAACAATTATTGGTCTACTAGAGGCTAGTCGAGTGAACGAATGGGTTGTCACAGAAAAACTTGGTGATGCTTTGAAGGCTAAAGCAGGAGGCAAAGCACCTAAAAAGCCTCGATTCAAGATTGGAGACAGGTATGAATGAGTATTCTTGCTTCACTTGTTTGATAACTTAATGTTGTATGATGTTGAGTTGCTTACCTACATTTGTTGTTTTTGTTTCAAATCTCATCAGGATTCATTTATTAGAACTTGGAGTCGCATTCTACCTCTTCTTTTGTGGGTGCTATGATGTTATGTTCGGGAAAAACCACTTCTTCATCTTTCTCTTTATCCAATCTCTTGCCTTCTTCATTATGGCATTTGGATATGTTGGCACCATTGTTCCTCAGTCCTAGGAGGACCTGGCATTTCTTCTTTCGGCTTCTTCACCTTCCATGCCTTCATATCAAAGTGTATTATACTGTTTACAACGTGGTTCTGGCAAATTACAAGCTTGTTAGTGTAAAAGAAAGGGTGGTCATTCTTTAAGGTGTTGCATAATCAGAGTCAGTGACTCTAAAGAGTTAGTTTTCTTGTGAATATACTGCAAAGATATATAAGGAAATTACGGAAGTTCTTCACATTAAAAGGGAAGCGTACAGAACAAGAAAGCAGAAATCATGTGGCATTCCTCAGGAGCAAACATCTTTGATTGGATGGATTGTTTATAAGATTTTGTAGTTTTTCTTTCTATTTTTAACCTTTCTTTACATTGTATTTGTTTGAAGAAATAAACAACTTCAAGAAATGGGATAAAATACAGACTTCCATTTTGTATTTCCAAATATAAACAAATGTTAACGCCATACCAACGAAAGTTAATTGAATTGGCTGCATTTAACTATAGTGAATTAATTTATGGGAAATTGGATGGCTGGCAAAAGGATTACTTATGTATCTCAAGAAAACCTAGCAAAAGAACATGAAATAAGGGTTAACTATGTTTCTTTTTTCTTATACTATAACACGATATTTGTTTTTGTTCTTATTTTAAACTTTGATCTTGTAAAATTTTCATACTTAGAGAAATGCATAGGTGCAATCCTCCACGCCCAACAATGTTAACTATTTTTTGGCATACTACTTTTTGGCATGACAAATGACGAATCAAGTTAGGCTTTAGAAATATACTAAAGAAACTTGTTAGTTGGTGGTGGATCTGAGTTTGTGCCTGATATAGGAAATGAAAGATGTGGTTCTTAAGTACTGTAGGTGATGGAGGCTAGTTGGTAGTTCTTTGAGATGTTGTTTGTTATTTGCTTTGTTTGATATGTGGTGATCTATTTAGGTGTTTGAGTTGTTATGGTGGTTCTTGATAGTGCTACTTCAATTGCATTGTTTTTGGTTGTCACTGTGTATGAAGGTGGTTGGTATGTGTGCTTCTTTAGTGCTCGGTTAGTGGTTTTGTGCTTGGTTCCTGCTTGTTGTGTACTCAGTTCCTACTTGTTATGTCCTATGTGTCGGGTTCTAGTTGTTCTATGCTCGATTCCTAGTTGTTTTGTGCTCGATTTGTGGTTCTATGTTTGGTTTGTGGTTCTGTGGTCGATTCAAGGTTTTGTGTTAGGTTGTTGGTTGTTGTGTACTTGGTTTGTGGTTTTATGCTAGATTATTTAGTGTAGAAGTCTTCAAAAAATAATATTTATTAAATGTATTATTAATTAATATATGTATTATTTACTTAATAATTGTATGAGTATATGTATTATTGTGTTGTTCACATCCATCTCATATGTGACTGAGATGCTGACATAACATCGTTTGAATAAGTTGTTTATTTACATTAATGAAAAAGGTTCATAATGAATTATTATAAATCATATTATACCATATAATATAGAGACCTTTAATATCCTTTGTTATATTTTAAGTTGATTTTATTAATTATTTCATCATAAATATTTAATATAAATAAAAAAATTCCTCGTAATTAAGTGTCTTCCATAACTACAATAATAGTAATATAAAAAAACATTCAAATTTAATAATATAAAAACAAAAAATAATACCATATATAATTAAATTATTTACTAAAAAATATTATCTAAACGAAAAAAATTAATATCCTACCAAAATATATATTATATTATCTTATTTATTAATTTTAGCATTTCAAATAATTTGTACAAAACATACGTTATTCATAAATATCATTTTATATTACTATTATTACTAAAGACAATTTGATATTCTTTATTTTCTATATATTAAAACTTTTTTTTTAAAATTTATCACAAAGTTAAATCTCTCAAACTTTCACAAATTTTACTTCTAAATTAATTTTTTATCTCTTCTAATTCCCTTAAAATAACAATACACATTTTATTCTACCTAAATCCATTTAATCACTTTTACTCAAATCCATCTTAATAAAAAATAAAAGTTTGAGGGGGAGGGAGAATGATTGACTTTATTATGGTGGTACGGGGCAATTCCCTTTTTCATTTTCAACATAAACAATGGATTATGATATGTTAACAACTTTTTTTAACAATTTTTTAATAATAGAATATGTGTCACTATTTTATTGGCATGTAAACGTACAAATAACAAGCTTTGTTGTAAACAAATTATAAAAAAAAGTTGTTAAAAAATCATTTTTCATAAATAATATATTTCCTTTATCTACTTCACCTTTCACATTGCTGTTTTCTATACCTATTTTCTTTTATTGTTGCAGATCATGCTCATTCTATCCCATTATTTACATTTATATCTTCAACAAGAAAGTGAAAAATGACATATTTTCACTTTCTCAAAAAGAACAACCAAAAGATGTTGTAATGAAATTTATATATGATGTATAAGATAAAAAAACTCAACCTCTTCAAAAACACTCAGCCCAAACCAGATTAAAGCTCCACCAATCTCAAACAAATTGTTCAGCAGGTGTTATTCAAACTATAAGGCTTAATTAAGACTCTATATACTAATTTGATTGACCCATTATGTTTTTCAAAAATATAAACTTTGACATGCAACTTTTTTACATTTTTTTTTTACTTTTTACTATTTTTAATAAAATATAAAAATTTATTTTTTATAATTATTTTATTTTTTAATAAATGTTAAATGAATATAAATACGCACCATCTATTATGTCCTTTTTAACATACACCATTCTACTCTTTTAACATACACCTTTTTACATACACCAGGAATCACCAATAAAGTAAGTTTGTTGCCTCATTATGTTTTCCAAAATTGGTTTTTATTATGTTACCTTATTTTATCTGATAGTTGTATTAGATCTACTGTCATGTTTGGGTATTTTTGAGGATAGAAACTTCACATCAGCACTTGCTTATAAAGAAAAAGTAGTTACTTATTTTGTTTTTTGTTGTCATTTTCCTTATTTCTCAGTATGGATTTCTTTGCTCTAAAAATGGCCTTGTTCTTTCATTTCCTACTTTTCCAGATAATTACAAAGTATCACATTTCACTTTCCAAATGATGTCTTACTATACATTCTACTAAAAATCACATTAAGAAACCAAATCACATTATGTTAATTTTGTTGATAAATTTAATTAGTCAATGATTGCTTTTAAGGACGTTTTATTCTAATGATTTCCTTCTATCCGTAAAATCTAAAATCAAAACTCTACCTTTTTTGTGTATATTTCCATTTGGAATATGGTAGCGTAAGTCTTCCTTTTATTATCAATAAAATACAATAATTTAACTTTTATTCACAATAGAAAAGAAAAATATATTACATTATAAATATTATATAATAATTTTTTTAATTATTTTAAAATAATAATAAAATAATGCATATTTATATTTATTTGACATACATTATAAAAATAAAATAATTATAAAAAATTAAATTTGTATGTTCTTTTGAAAAAAAAAAGTAAAAATTAAAGAAAAATAATATTAAATAAATAGAAAAAAATTTGTGTGTGTCAAAATATTATTTTTGTTTTTTTATAAACCTTGTGATATAAAAAGATCACTTCATATATATATATATATATATATATATATATATATATATAATGAATTAAATTCGAACATAATAAAAGAGAGTGATGGGTAGTATAGATATAAATTGGGCCGAGAGTAGAGCCTAGAGCTGTTTGGGATATGAACAATTCAAGCAGCAACGTGAAGCATTGAGAAGTGGTTTTTGAGCGCCATATGATGGTTCTGGGAAGTCGTTCTGCTCTTCGCATTCTTCCCAATTCGCACTTCAACAAATTCAGTTCCTTCTTCTGCTCCCAATCACTCAAACTCTCTGAATCCGCCTCAGAAAACCAGCGTCGCCTTCAAAAGGTTCAAAAACTCGAAACTTTACTCAACCGCGGTCGCACAATCACCGCAAGAAGGTTCCTCAAATCCCTTTTTCTCTCCAAAACCACATTCTCCTCTCTCTCCGAACTCCATGCCCACGTCTCCAAACCCCTCTTTTCGGACACCCTCTTATGGCTCTGCTCCGTTTCCAAAATGCTCAACGAAGCCACCGACTTGTACTTTTCCATCCGAAAAGACGGATTTCTCCCCTCCACGCGTTCCGTCAATCGTTTGCTCCGAACCCTGGTGGCTTCCGGACATTTCGAGAAAACCCTTTCTGTCTTCGCCGACGTTGTGGATTCTGGTATTCGGCTCGATGTTGTTACTTACGGAAAAGCTGTTCAGGCCGCGGTGATGTTGAAGGACCTCGATAAGGGTTTTGAGTTAGTGAGTTCCATGGAAAAGGAAGGACTGGGTCCTTATGTTTTTGCTTATAACTTGCTCTTGGGTGGGTTGTGTAAAGTGAGAAGGATCAAGGATGCTCGGAAACTGTTCGATGAAATGGTTCAGAGAAATATGGTTCCGAATACTATTACTTATAACACGCTCATTGATGCGTACTGTAAGGTGGGTGATTTAGAGGAAGCTTTTGGCTTTAAGGAGAGGATGAAGCAACTGAATGTGGAGTGTAGTCTTGTCACGTATAATTGCTTGTTAAATGGCCTTTGTGCCTCCGGGAGGATGGAAGATGCGAGGGAGGTGTTGTTAGAGATGGAGGGCTGTGGCTTTTTGCCTTGTGGGTTTTTGAGTGTTGTGTTTGATGGTCATTCGAATGGCGCAGGTGATCGTGGTTTATTTGATGGAAAAGAAATAAGGATAGATGAACGAACTTATTGTATTTTGCTGAATGGACTTTGCAGGGTTGGAAGGATTGAAAAGGCTGAAGAGGTTCTGAACAAACTAGTGCATAATGGAGTTACTCCAAGTAACATTTCATATAACATACTTGTGAACGCATATTGTCAAGAGGGTGACGTGAAGAAAGCTATGCTGACAATTGAACAAATGGAGGAGCGAAGGATGCAGCCTACCCGCATCACTTTTAATACCCTCATTAGCAAGTTCTGCGAAACTGGAGAGGTGGACCAGGCAGAGACATGGGTTAAGAGGATGATAGAGAAGGATGTTTCCCCCACTGTGGAGACTTATAACTCATTGATTCATGGTTATGGTCAGAGGGGCAATTTTGTCAGGTCTTTCGAGATTCTCGAGGAAATGGAGAAGGCTGGGATAAAGCCTAATGCCATCAGCTATGGTTCTCTAATAAATTGTCTTTGCAAAGATCGTAAGCTTCTTGATGCTGAGATTATGCTTGCAGATATGATAGGTTGTGGGGTTTCTCCGAATGCAGAGATATATAATATGCTCATTGAAGCTAGTTTCTCACTAAGTAAATTGAAAGATGCTTTCAGATTTTTTAATGAATTGATGCAAGGTGGAATAGATGCAACTCTTGTGACATACAATACGATGATAAATGG